TAATAATAATAATAATAATGAAACTTGAAACTTTGAGAGAAGTAGGGTTAGGATTAGGGGTTATCACTGGAACTAACCCCTAACCCAACAAATTACCATGTTCATGTTATTCTCTCCACAATGTTCATGCTTTCTTAACTTTTAACATTCAGTTCCCCCATTTTATTTTCCCCTTAAGTTGCTTTAATATAAATAAAAATCATCTTATTCTTTAAGGTCTGACAGTAACAGATGTATATTCTGTCACATCTTATTTCAAATCTTATGCTGAGGGAACTTTCTTCTTTTGCATTCTTCTCCAAAATCCTTGTGGGGCAATGATCTCACACTTGTATAACAACTAGAATTTTGTATAAAGTTTGTCTGCATGGAGGTCAGTTGGGTTTTTAATATTTGTCTCCAGGTCTTGCCTGCAACAGTATTATCAGAATACAATCATATAAAAAAGTAAACTGCACTAAAAGTTCCTTGTGGTCGATTACCTACACGTGATTTGTGTCTCCGCTCTCTCTGATTTTTAAAACATAGTCCAGTTGTTTTCAAACTGTGGTCCGGGGACCAATAGGGGTCCCTGACAGAGTTTTCATTAGTTTTGTGTTTTTCCATTTTTAAAAAAAATCTTTTATTTTAATTTAATTCAGTTTAGTTTTTATTGTTTAAAAATGTTTCTTTTTAGTTTAGTTTTATTAGTTTCAGTTTTAGTTGTAGTTTTATTTATTATAATAATTGTCAGAGGCAAAATGTAAGTTCTAGTTATAACAAAACAAACACACTCACATATGCACCAATGACTCATCATGCTGGTTGTGTTGACGTATTTGACCAAATTGAGACTAAAACTAAAGACATTTACTGTATTTTTTTTATTTTATTTTACTTAGTCTTGTAAGTACACAATACTGTTTTAGTTATTTTTAGTTTTTCTAAAGTTTTTATTTTTATTTCAGCTGACCAAATGTATTTTCACACGTAGTTTTAGTTTCTTGTTTAGTTTTAGTTAACTATAATAACCATTCTTTGGAAGGGAAGAAATAGTGTTGGCCTATTTATTGATAGTTTGGTTATTATGAAGACTTTATAACCCTGAAATCTAAAAATAAAAAGAATACTCTCAAATTGGGGTCTGTGGTCTAATTTGCATATATTGTGAGGATCATTTACATGGAAAAGTTGAGCCCCTGATATTGTCTAATGACTGTAAACTAAGTAATTTGAACTGATATCACATAACATGCAATGAAACAGACAGGCAGCACAAGAAAACTCAAGCAAGCCGAAACACAACAACCTGTTTACTCACCTTCCTCTCCATCTGCTGGTGGTTGGTGAGTGTTCGGTTTGTTAGCAGTTACTTTCTCCTGTGTGTGAACTTTCTGCTTGTCGCTACAGGCAATCAAATAATTATTTTGTTCAGACGTATGTGTCTCAGTGAGCTCATCTACACTCCTCTGTTGTAGTTGAGATCCTGCAACTGTGAGCAAAACACCAACAACCAAAGGAAGAGTTTGGATCTCTTGGAGGTCTTCAGTTTGAATTACAAAAATAGCTTTTCAGATGGCTTTGTGCAAATTTTACATGCACAGACTCTACGGGACTGAATGAACTTCAATGAACTGCAGTTAAACATTTCAGGACTTTAAGTTGTTGGGTAAGTTTAGCATGAAGCTGCTGACTGTACAGACCACAGAGGACAACACTGTCTCAACTCTGGAAATCCCCAACTCACTCACTCAGACAGTCAGTCAGACAGGTTGAACATTAGCTGTCAGCTTCATAAAGCTCAAGTGAGAATTCACTTTCAGCATTTGTTCCCTTGGAGAAACCTTTCATGTCCGGTGTGTAGTGAGAAAAATCCCAGGTTCTGACACTGAACCAGAGGTCAGGAAGCCACATCGAGGTCAATCAGTTCAAGAAAAAGCAGTTTCACATCCGAGAAGAGAAAAGAAGCAGGAGCCACTTTGGGATCTCCACTCAGCTCTCCTGCTCAGCTCCTGTGACACAAACGCTGACACTAAATCTGCCTGGACAGGACATTAAGGCAGAGTCTCTCTACCTTTTCACCTTTCAGTACTCTCCCTCCCTCCCTCGCTCATCCTCCTCTTCCTCACAAACCCTCCCTCGCCTGTCCAACACTCACTCCATTCCTGTTTCTCCTCACAAGTAACGACTGCTGTGTTTGTTTGTTCGCAGCTTCCTCACCATCCACAGCAATGTGTGTCTGTGTGAGAGGACACATGGGAGGGGGGGTGGCTGATTTGAGTTTGAGGGGGGTGGTGGTCAGGTTTCAGCCCAGTGCCTCTCAAATGATCCCAACACACACACACACTCACACACTCACTATATCAGGCAGCGGCTGGTATGTGGACAGATTAAGACCATGCCAAGCTGTGCTCTTTCTACTGTTACACACACACTCACTGTCCTCTTAAAGGTGCCAACTCTAGCATGTAATTATATTTAATATGTACTGATAATTACAACATTAATTTTGAGTTACTTTTATGACTGTAAGCAGACTGCAAAATGTCCTTCAGCCTCTACAGGTTAGTGTGCACAGTATAACCCGATTATAAGTTCCAAGTGTTGGTTTTGCTTTTTGGGCAACACTTTCCTTTAAAGGACCGGTGTGTAGGATTGATGATCTCCTCACCCTCCCCTTCTAAGTGTGTAAGGAGAAACATTGCGGTTCAATATGAGAGACAGTAAAATATGTATAAAAAAACGTCATCATTCTAAGTTACCGATAGTTATTTTCAGGTGTTTATATACTAATAAAAACATGTAACTGTGAATGTTATATTCCATTTGTGCCAATAGATCCTCCTAAACGTTACACACTGGACCTTTAAGATGCTGATTTGAGGTCTGGATTGAGTATGAGACACAACACACTGGAGTGCATTTGATAGCTGGTTTAGTTATTCTATGGTTAGGAGGTGACAAGAAAATAAATATTTAATTATACACAGGAAATTATATGTACAATAATGTGGCGATGGTTGGATGGTTTTTGTTAACTAAAATGCCAATTAGTTTGGTTGCTACTTTTATTTTGAATTGCTCATTGGAAATTGGTTTTCACATCACTTTTAGTTTCCCCCTTATAAAATGCCTTATGGTGTTCCACAGGGCAGTTGTCTTGGTCCTCTTCTTTTCTTTCAAATCAAATAAACTCGCAGTGAGAAAAGAGACTCTGAAGCAACAGAAACATTTATTTTACAACAGTACATCAGATACTTCATTTACCCACACGTCTGTCTGACAGACGCAAACATCAGTCCATGCTAAAAACAGAAAACCTCTACGTCTCTATGTACTGTGCCACTGCGTGTATATACAGCAGGTCTGCCATTCTGCCACTTCCTTGTCAAAATGGTTCACATCTAAAAGTCTATACATCCCCTTGACATACCAGCTAGTCTTTAAATCAATTATTAAAAACATAACAAAAATAAAATAAATAAAATAATGCTTCAATATTATTATCATCTGGTTGCTATATTCACACTTACATCAGTTCTTGTTATTTATGTCATTATTTAGATCTAACAATGGAAGTTTCTTGACTCCAGGTTTATGTATTTCAGGCTTCACGCTGCATTCACTCAGACACTGGTGCATGTTTGGTCAATAAGAGGAAAAATGAGAAACAGAAATGGGTTTAACAATGTGGCATTTCAGTGGTGACATGACATGAAGCACAAAAACTAATCAAGTAAAGAGAAAAGTGGTTAAAGGAGAACATCTGCAGGTTTCATAAAAACCCTTTAAAGGGTCCTTAAATTATCAGTTGGATCAGAAGTCCGAATTAAAAACTGGAAGACAAAATTTAAAACTAACTTAAAAACCCAAACAAGGAATTAAAATCAGCCTGTTCTGATCTGTTTGAATGTGTTAACTCACAGCTCTGGTTTGTACGGATGTAAGAAATAACTTGTGGGATTCGATGGTGAAGACCTTCATGATTTAGCTCCACTTAGGTCTCTTTTTAGACTTTTTATGAACCTGCAGATTCCCTGAAACAACCGTTGAAATTTGTGATTGTACGTTTGGAAGTGGAGGACAGCCATGGGAAATACTTCTTTAACTCTTATTGCACTTTCTCATGATATGTATAAATACATAATGAACAAAGTGTTTGATTGAGGAATCAAAGAAAATATAGAGAATAAATTAGCCTGTTTTTTTTAGTTTTTTTTTTTACAAAAATGAAAATGAAACACAAAACAACCACAACGTTCCTGTATTTTCTACTATAGCACAGCTGGAGTGCTACTCGTGAGCAACAAATAAAGAAGAACTACAAAAAAAAAAAGTTATTCTGGAAAATGATTCCCTAACTAATCAGTGTGATTGTTGTAAATTGCTCTTCTGTTGCTATAAGGATTGTGTAATCTACAATAAGACTTTGGATATCAATATCCTCCCTTCATTATCAACATAAATAAGAAAACAAATACAATAAAAAGCAGTTCTAGAGAGACAAACAGAAGAAAGAAAGAAAGTGTTCAAATCTTCTGACCAACTCGAAGAAATACAGTGACGTAAAATCTAAACATACAGTTCACACGACGTGTACAGCATTTTTACTTTCTCACAAAACAAAATGAAAACTAAAAACAAAGAAAAAAAGGGGGCTCAATCAGTGTGTATGTCTGCAAGTCTGCAACGGCAGCAAGAGGTCACTAACGTACGCTAATGTACTTATAATGTACTCATAATGTTTCTACTAATAACACTGGACTCTGCAGTGGCTCACACATACAGCTTTCGATGCGAGCTCAATCCTTCATACGTGGAACGAGGTGAAACATAAAAGAAGGAAGAAGTGAAGGAGGAGAGGAAGAGAAGGTCCACAGCAAATCTACCGTACAGTAGTGTTAATAACAAGCGATGCAATTACTGCTACTACTGGGAAACTGAAGCAATGTCATTACTTTTTCAGGAAATAAGAGTAAATTATTGCTTGATTGATGTTTTGTGATGAAGAAACGCACCCCTCACAGTTAACATGTAGCTGTACTGTTTGTCTGCTGGCTGGTGTCGATTTCCAGATATCTGTTCTGTCATTGTAACACGTCAAAGCTGATTAAGATTCAGTCCCAGCAGTTTCTGTGTGACCAGTTTCAGCTGAGCCGTCCTATGATTAACCACCCTTGCACAGCTGAACCAATCAGAATACTTCAGAGGGGCATAAAGCCAGCGGAAGCAGATTTACGCTTTCAATCGTTCTGTCAGATTTAAGTGGGGGGCAGTCGATGCCAGCGCGGCACCTGTTGAAGTGTGAGCTGCTCCTCTCCATACTGAGAGGGGCTCCTGCGGTGATGTTCATGAGGGTATTCAGGACAAATAAACACCCCCGCCCAGTCCTAGCCACTGCTCACTGAACATATAGACGTAAGGTCTCTGACCTACTTCCAGCTGGCGTTGGGCTGAGAGAGAAACCTCGACAAGTGTTTCCCAGCGAGCTAAAAGGTGATTTACTTTGGTTTTCATCCACCAGTAGAAGATTTAGACAATAAAAACAACATTTGTACGTGTTAAAAAGGTTCTTACTCTGCCTCGCAGAAGTTTCCACTTTTAGAAATGTGTGAGTTGATTAACTGAAAGCTGGAGATCTCTGTATAGTCTCAACGACCATTGAGGGCAGAATATATACATATACTTATATTAACTGTTGTGCGTATGGTCCAGGTGTACAGTGTGCATCATACACTTTTGGGCTGTGTCCGTGGGGACACTAGCGAACATCGGCAGATCACAGATTGCATGTGAAAAGTAAAAAAAGTGCTATACAGATACAAATAAACGCATATATCTGAAATATGCTTTTTCTTTCTAATGATTTTTGAAATGGGAAAAATAAAACATCACAATCTGTGTGCATACCTCTTCTTACAGGTAAAACCATCTTGTTATGCATTTAGTAAATGTCCCTTTTTAATTCTGTGCTTCTGGCTGCATCTGACTGATGATTGTTATCAAGGATATTTGATATTATGGGTAATAAAACTGGCCTGAACTCCATGTTTGCTGTGTGACTATGAAGAAGATCGCTCATGCTTTTGTATGGATTCTGTCTAACTAGTGTTTTCCTCCTTCATTTTTTCTTCCTCCCTCACTCCACAATAATTAAAAATGTTTTTAAAAAATGTTTGTGCTGAGCCGTTGAGCTCACGCTGACTGTGAGTGATCGTATGAAGTATTTGCTGGTGTGTGTGTGTGTGTGTGTGTGTATTATTATAATTACTGCTGCAGATGAACAGAAAATAACAGATGAACTGACAAGAAAGGTGTTGAGACTTCATCAGTCACGTGATTGTGGTGGAACCGTGTGTGTGTGTGTGTGTGTATTCCTGGTTCATACTGTTGCTATTAACTGTAAGGTCTGAGCTTTATGTGTGTGTGTGTGTGTTTAGTATGCGTCGGTCCTGTAGCTTTGGTGGGCATCAGAGGTGAGCTGGGTGGTTTCTGTGGCTGTGGACGGCTGCATCACGATGGGCTCACCGCCATCTGGGGAGGACACACAAACACACACACACACACACACACACACACACACACACGTAAGAAGATGTAAACCGGAGCAAAATCAGTGTTTCTCACACATTCACTTCTGGCGGCCCATCACACTATCAATATCAGTGCATTGATCCGCTCAGCCACCTTTCACCCTGCTCCTGCGTGCAGAAGGCCCTCGAAAATATTAATAAGTAGTTTTTTTTTTTAATATAATCTGATATTGATTAAATATCAAAAAAGGACAAACTACAAAAGAAACAACAAACAAAAGAAAAACTTACAAAAAGGGCAAATCTAGCCCAGGGTTAGGATTTATTTAACTGTGGACAGATGTATGTACTTTCATGTTTGCTGTGGTTGGATCAGAGAGGGTTGGACTTCATATTGACTGAAGACAGATGTGAGATTTACACATTTATCTTCAAAGAGACTTAAAGTTGTGGCTGGAATTGTGAAGTATTCTCTACCAGCACAGCGGCAACGTGTGTCCTTGCCCTCACCTCTCTCATCAGCGGTCATCTGGGCCTCCAGGTCCTCGGGGGAGACGTAGAACTCGGGTTCCTGGTCCATAGGCGGCCGAGGTTTACATTTACCGCAGCAGCAGTTACAGCAGCAACACAGGCAACAGCAGAAATAACAGCCTGTGGACAGGCAGCAGAAGACGAACAAGGCCTGTGGGACGAAGAGAGAGAGACTGAATATTAAACAACCAACCGACTGATGAAGGACAACATGGACTAGCAGAGAGATAAACAGTTCACACTTGTATGTATATCTGTATACAAGTTATGTGCTGTAAAAGTTAAAAGTAAAAATAACACACACACACACACAGCGTAGTATAAAAGTATTCACTCTCCTCAGGCTTTTTTATATTTCAGTGTCTAACACTGAATCACAGTGGACGTAATTTGGGATTTTAAGTTAAATAAACCTGTATCTGGATGGGTTAGCTGCTGCTACTAAAAACTTAGACAAAGAAACGTTATATATATATATATAACGTAATATTCAAGGCACAGAAAATCCCTCTGAGTTCACTTAAAGGTCGTCATTAAGAAAGAAAGAGTCTAGCACAGCTGGTTCACATCTGTCTGTCCTACCTTCGCCCACCAGCTGGACAGAACGAAGTAGGTGTTGACGTTCTCCTCTCCGAACTGCTCTGCGACGTAGAGCCCCAGCGAGCCGTATTTGTCGTAGATGTTCTTCTTGGTGGTGTCGCTCAGGATGGAGTGAGCGTTGTTGATTTCCTTAAACTTTTCGGCCGCGTCTGGGTTGTCCGGGTTCTTGTCTGGGTGAAACTTCAATGCCAGTTTCCTGTAAAAAAGACACAGAGGTTGTTTACAAAAGTCCCTGAAATGAGACCCTGTGAGGTCTTTATAACAGCAGACGTTGTGTCAGTAATAACATTATCAATGACTGACAGAATTCATTCTTTTTATCATTTTCACCTGTGCTTCTCCTACTTTAACATCTTAATGTATTCTGTGAAAAAGGCCTATGCAGTAGAGCCTGACCTATATATTTTAAAATTGGTCTAAAGCAGTATAAAAAAAATGTTGCACTTAAAATCCTTAATAATTAAACACTAAAAACAAGCTGTGCTTTTGGTTGTCAGCTTTTTATTCATGCCAATAAACATTTGATTGCAAATAAATAAATGTAATGCTTTAAATATCTAAAGTTACCCAATAAAAAGGAGGGCAGCAAACTTTAGGCCAAAAATAGCAGGAAGAGGCCTCCATCTGGTTTGATGTCTAAGTTTAGTTTGAGTGTTGTGAGTTTGGATGGATTGTGATTGAAAGGAACAAAACCACACAGAACTCAAACATTTATTCTGGAGAAATTAATCTAGCAGTAAGTAGCAGAAGTATTTAATGTAGACAAACAGAAAAGCTGAAAAAGGTTATTTCCCCATATCATGAGTGGATGGAGTGAAAGTGAATGTGAATGTGATAAACTGAAGGATGAAGT